AAAAACCATTTTATGGAGCTTTCTAAATGGAAGGCTTTCTATTGTGGCTAGCCATCTAATATATATGCAATGTTCCTTTTCTAAAATGAATAGAACTACTAAATATACAAAGCAGCCATAGAATTCAATATGATTCCTAAAATCGTCATATAAACAAGAAAGCTGCATAAAGATCTCCACGGCACAATGCTCAAATGTTTTGCACTTCAAGACCATTATTCTGCATTCATGGGTCTATTTATACCTTCAAATGCCATCTCTATTTCACCCACACAAAGAAAGCTCCAACAGAGAGGAAGATGTAATTTTCATGTATATATCATTTAATTTCAGCGATTCTGAACCGGTAGAACAGTTGGCCAAACCATTAAATCAACTCCAGATACAAAGCTTCTTGTTTGCTGTTAAGTCCGAGTTCATTCAACGTTAAAGACCTCTCCCCGTCTCCAAAGGCTTGTCGAGGATATGGCCTCACCTGTTCCATGGATAAAGAAATATATCAGATGAAATCTCCATCATTCGTTTAAATTCCATCTCTAGGCTTTGATCTTAGCTTAGATACATGTTATTTCAAATAATTGTCCGGGTAAATGTCTACCCTTCACGTAAAAATAAACAAGGTCTATGTTAGGATTCTTTTAAAACAATTTCCTGGTTCTTTATGCAAAGTTTAGGGTTTGAAAGTTTATGGAGACTAAACTTTTGAACCAAAAGAGAAGGTAAACCCAAATCATTCCCCTTCCAAATTTTGTTTCTACTCTCAAATAAGCACAAGCATTCAGAGACTGTCTAGGAGGAAAGAAAATCTTGGCAGAGAAACAGGGCACTTCGCTCATCTTAAAATATGTAATGTACTCACCAATCTGTAGGAGCCAGGTTTGACAACTCTGCCAATATCAATGAAGTCGAAGAGACACTACAAAACATATCACCATCGAGTTAGATAAAGAGGGAGCATAGAATAGGTATCAACTTTGGCCAACCTTTACTAAATTCACCTGTAGCTTATCAGACTTGAGCAACCGACGGCCCCTGCGACTGCCATCTGGCATGCGCACTAACAGTGTCACAGCATTCTCATCATCGGTTCTTGGTTCACTGGGAAGAGAAGCTTCTATTTCTGCTAAGTGTCTTTCAAGCTCCTGCGATTTAGAAAACAATCATGGAGTGATCGTTTGCACCATGCTAATGTAGCCCAAATACTATTTTTGGACCATTAAACAGCATCGTTTGGATAAACAAGAAAGTGCTAAAAGTTTGTGTAGAGAGAAAATGACAACTACCAGCTCATTTCTATCAAGTTACTACAATTCTTCAGAAAACAAAAATGATAATAGTAAAAAAAGTATATTGACTAACAAAACCATTAGTGTCACAGAGGAAAAAATGTCAAAGCATTATAGTAGATTGATGTGGCAGATATGGCAAAAAAAAAATATATTTTATATTTTTTTTTCTGATGTGTCTCCCCTCCCCTATACCTCCCCCTAATCGCAGGCCCCCCTCCTTTCATCGTCGTCCCCCTCCTCCCCCTTCTGTCTCCTCCTCATCCTCCATAGCACACCAAATCTAGGCCCTACGCCGTCACTGCCACAAGCAACTTCATCTCCTTCTCCACACCCACTTAAGTACACTCTTTCTTCATATCTGCATAGACCAAATCTGATTTTTATTTATTTAACTTTATAGTATTTGAGATTTGTGTTCCACAGGGTTTATTTCTATTTCAAAGAAAATTCAACACACCAAAAAATCTAACAAAAGTCAGATTATTTTGGCCTTCAAGTTCAAACTATGCAAAATGCAAATTAGAAACCAAACATAAAGTATTTGAGGACAGTGAGTGAAGCAGAACTTGACAAGGAATTGGAATCTGGCCACTAAACCAATTAACCTTTGCAACAAAGTACATAAAATTTTTTGGTGTAAAATACATTAAGAATTTCTCACGAATACCCATTAGATGATATATCCAACCGGAGAAGGCTTGTGAGATTACCAATAATGCTATTTGCTTGTTATTCTAAATGCTATGAGTCAGGAAGTCAGGGTTTGCAATGCAAAAGCTCTATCAGGTATTTTGCCATTGATTAGGTTCAATGGGAGGGGGAGTAGGAAGAGAAGGACGTGCCAGAAGGGTGGGAGGAAGAGTAGGAGAGGACGTGTCAGAAGGGGGAGGAGGAGGCATCAGAAGGAGAGGGGCAGTCGAGAGAAAGAAAAAGAACAGAGAGAGTGAAGAAAGAAGGAAGAGTAAAAAAGATTTATATAATTTTTTGCCACATCAGCCTATTGTAAAGCCTAGTTAGCTTTCCATCAATGAGACTAACGATTTTGTTAGTGAAGGGTCTTCTTAAACCTACCACTCAAAATTTAGGGGCTAAAGTGCAACTTTTGAAAGCTCAGACTAAAGTGACCTTGAGTGAAAACTCAAGACTAAAATGGTAGTTTTACCTCCGAACTTTTATGCATTTTGATGATTCTCACACTAATAATGTTGTAGTTGATGATATTTTCATACAAGAGAAGAGACCTTGTAAAAGAAGTGTTGAATATGTAATGAAATATGCAATACTGCTTCGAGTGGTTGGAGAAACAAGTTACCTTTTTCTAAAGATAAACATCTATTAAAAAAATCCAGAGTGAATAATGATTATGCATTTATATTTTCTAAAATCAAGTATGATGTTTTTCACTCTTAAAATTTATTATGTTTTTCCTAGATTTCTTTTAACGTCCATTTATTATAAAAGTAAATAAATAAATATAAGTGTAAACATTTTTAGTTGAATTGTCCAACAATTATTTGACAGCAAATGAAATGCTCCATGCTCTATCATGCTTTACAAGTGTTAGGGATACATTGCACTAGTGTCAAACATGTGTTCAATTTGACAGCAACTAATATCCAACACGTGTCCAACAAATAGAAGAGTAACTGATGTGTCAAACACAGGCACGATCCAAAGTGAAGAGTTTGGTTTGTCCTTTATGCTTTAGAAGATACAGTTCATATGATATAACAATCAGCAGTAAGATGTTATGTATGCAGAGATTAGAGTATAATGAACTGTGAATTGAGTCTGAATTCCACGAGAGCAGCAGAAGAGGCAAACATACCAAAAACAATACATAGTGGAGTTATCTCTCAAATATATATAGTATTCTGTGAATTTATTATAATGGATGGGAAAATAAATCTCAACAGAAAGCTACAGATATGGCCAGAACTACCTTCTCAGCATCCAATTTCTGACGGGATTCTTCCTCTCTTTGTCTTTCTTTTTCAAGAACAGCTGCAGCTTCTGCTATGGCCTTTAGTTCCTTTTCTCTGTCAGCTTGTAAAGCTGCTAGATACTCATCATCCTGCATGGGTAAGTGACCTTCAATTAGGCACATAGTATTTGATAACCAAATGAATAGTTTCCACTTGAAACACAAAAGCCAAACCTGTTGTTCTCTTATCAAACGCTGAGCTACTAAAGAGGGCGAAGGAGGGCGAGGGGCAGGCTGTATATATGAACCTTGATTTCTCATGAAATCGTGAGGTGCAGATGGAAATCGATATGAACTGCCTTCAGAACCTCCAAATAAAGCAGCCTCAAGCATGACTGCTTCATCATGCTCCTCTGAAGAAATTCCACCCCACTTTCATAGAGAAGCATCAATAGTTAAAATGGATAGTTACAAATCAACAACCGAGATGAAAAATCTTTCATTTTAACGACACAGAAATTTAAGGTTAAAACATGGACACGCTAAACTCTATACCTCATCAGAATGAAAGGCATTCCCATTGTGCTGTGGATTATCACTAGTATCATGAGGATTTGTACTTGATGCAAGGCTTACATCAACAGCTTCAACCTCCTTTGCGGGTTCAACATAGCCAGAGGACTTGCGTTTGGACCGATGCCTAACTAAATTATCTTGCTCTAGGTCTTCAACCTCATCTTGAGCAGAGGTGCTTCCCGTTTCCATCCTAAGTTTTTCCAATGTAACTTCATCAGACTGTTTTCTCGAACAGCATAGCACAAAGTATAGACTCCCATTCTCAGTAGGTTCATAATAAACAAGTTGGTAAATAATACTATACATCAACTCTAACCAGCACAGTTGACAAAGAGTACCTTCCATTTAACGTAGAAGCTTCTACTTTTGATCCTCCAATGTTCTCCCCTAGCTTAGGGAATTCTTCATCTGGCTGTATTTTCAATTCAAGTTAACCATAAGATGGTGTAGAAGTTAAGATAATAGAGGCATAAGATGAGAACAAACCTTGATAGATGAATCAGCAGGTGAAAATTCAAAATCATTCAAGTGAGAAGGATGTTCTCGAGGCCTAAGATTACTTAAATCCTGGATCAAGATAAAAAACAAATCAATATATACAACACATTGCAATGACTCCACAGAAAATAAAAAGAATCCAGCATGTTTATAGAGTTATTGCGTAGCATACACTGTGTGTAGTTACCTGATCACTTACATAACCTTGCACAACATCCTTCTTTGAAGCCTCAATTGCAGCACGAATCATTTCTTCCTCAATGTCATTTGTGTCCTGAAACTCGTCACTCTCAAAGGCACTGGATATAACATTTCTGTCATGAGATATGTTACTCTCAATAGCCCGATGCTCTAAATCTGGTGCATGTGCTATAGAAGTGACTGGAGCCTCTTCATCTTCCTTGTCATCAATTACTACATTTCCATGAACCTCTGGACCATGAACATCTATAGTGCCAGTGATATCCTCAATTGTCGGCACATGGCCAGATTGGCCAGATGGACGATTACCATCTCTAAATTCTATGGGAATCTCTCTCACTTCTCTTGGATGAGTCACAATTGGAGCAGAACTTGTAAAATCAGAGGCACTGCCAAATAACCCCTGGTGGAGATGTTGATCAAGTATTGAAAATGGATTCATGATCTCTCTAGCTGTAGACAGAAGAGACTGAGTAGGTCCCTGGGGTACAACTTCAACTGGATCATCAATGTCCATGAAATCATATTCACCAGAAACAGAGGTTTGACGTGCGCTGGAGATAATGGGAAGATGGTTCCAAGTTCAACATCAAGAATTTTGTTAGATAAAAAAAAAATGAATATATAGGTAACAATCCCTTTTTAAAGCAAAAAAGAACTTCTGAAAAGAAAAACATGGAATGAAATTGAACTAGTAGCATACTTTACAGATGAACTTCTATCTCCTTCATTGAAATATGCATTCACAGCAGCATTGAGATCAGCACCATGTGCCTAAATGTAACACCAAAAAAAAAACAAAACAAATTGGTTGAAGCAATTTACGAAAAGAGAGATATGAGCTTGGGTCAGGTATCATTAACACGGTGTACTAGTGAAAGGTAAGTATGCTCTCTTCTCTCTCCCCCTCTCTATTAGGTTATCAGATTGCAGCCCGTTCATCAAGATCGTGGTGAAGAGCCTCCTCCTGTTTTAGATTGATTTCTTCAGGGTGTTGTAGAAAAAATCAGCTCTCAGTTAATTTAGTATGATGGAGATTTGTAGCTGCCGTGTTGATAAAAATTTCTTTTGCGTTTTGGGCTGAAAATGATATTTTTATGGTTGAGGATGTGAGTAGAAAAGTTCCGATGCCTCTGCATTCATCTCAAATTTTATTGTTTGAGAACCATTTGGTCAATTTACTATAGATTCCAGTTCACTTTAGTTTCTTTTATCAAAATAGAATGTTTTTGGAACTTGCCGCATTTAAAACTCAGAATTAATAAAGTATGGTATCTAGAATGTGTTGTTTGGCCCACCACCAGGGAAGGAATCAAGTCCGCCTGGTTCTAGTAAGAATGGATGGTTGGTTCTAGTAAGAATGGATGGTTGAGTTTTTGGAATATGCAAAGAAACTTCTCAGACAAACAGAAGGAAGACCAGAGATTAGTACATTCGAGCAACCAAAAAACATATGCAAAGGTAACTAAAGCAAATCGTGTGGAAGGAAAGGAAAGCAATCTGCCAGTACATAAGGAGAAGAAGAACTCTGATCACTGGGTTCAGAAGGAAAAAGAGGTGTGGGAAATCGACTGGGACAATATGATGCTGGTTTCAAAATGCTGCGCCCATGATAATTAAAAGAAGATTTCTTTGGCTTTAAAAGAAAAATATTCTTAAAGTTGTTTGATTAACCCATTCAAAGTAGATAAAGTTCTATTGAAGAAGGAAGACGGTAGAGTCTTGAGCCATGATGAACTATCTGCTAAATGGAGGAAAATTGGAAACTGTCATTTGAAGTTTTTTCTTTTTTTTTTATAAGAAACAATTTCATTGATGTGTGAAATTACAAGAGGGGAAGAAAATCCCACAAAGACCAATGGAGTTACAGAAAACTTCTCCAAAGAGAGGTCATGCTAGCTATAAGATTGAAAATATGGAGATGATTTACACCAAGACATAGCAGTAAATAGGATATTATCAAAAAGAGTGTTGAAAGAGAGCTCCTTTTCTAGGAAGAGCCGATGATTTCTTTCATTCCCAAAAATCCATAGAAAGGAACGGATAAAATGCTTCCACATGGTCTCCTTATCTTTCTTGAAGGGGTGTCCCACAAAAACAAAGGAGAGGAAATCGATGATGTCAATAGGCAGGGTGGTTGACCAATCCTTTGATTGGAGGATCTTGTTCCAGAATTTTATGGCCATGGCACATTTGAAGTTAGAAAAATGGAACTTTGAGAGTCATAGCAGAAAGGAATCTATATGGGGATAAAGAGGATGGATCACTATTTTTTTTAATAAGAAACCGAACTTTTCATTGAGACAAATGAAAACAACAACAAAGACAAAGGCATACAAAAACAACAGCCCAAACAAAAGAAGCCAGCCTAAAGAAAGGGCTTCCAATCCAAAAGAATAGTACCTAACCGATAATTACAAAACAAATTCGAAACAGACCCCATAAAGAGACATTAAACCTTATTAGGTCCCAAAAAAACACGAATATTCTATTGTTTCTTTCCAACCAAATCCCCCAAAAAAATCCCAAAGAAAGCAGCCTGCCATAAAACCTCCCTTTCTTGCAGAAAGGAGAATACAAGAGCACTTCCTCCACCATAGACCCCCACTCTCTATGACGAACCCAAGAAAACTCGAATATCTCAAAGAAACGGCCCCAAATGAGAGGATGGATCACTATTAAAGACTTACCCCTCATGTTTTGGACTCGGCAATGTTTTGAATCCACAGAAAGCCACTTTGGAGGATTGGTGGATATTTCAAAAAGACTTTGAATTTACTGGACTGCTCTGAAGCCGTTATCCAAGTATAATTGAATTATTGTAGTTTTATGCCTGCTGAAGTCGAGATTAAGGATTCAAAACTTGGTTCCTATATGATTCAAGTTTCAGATGTTAGCAAAACAGAGCCAAGAAACTATTCCACAAGATCACTTTCCTCTTCAAGCCTCGACATCATAAAATTTTCGAATTTTATTGACAAAGAGAGATTCCAGAGAATTTTGGGAGATGAAGGGCCTACCTTCACAGACCCTCAGCCTTCACCTGCCATCAAAATTTTTGTAAAAAAAGCTACTTCCAAGGAGAACATGCAAACTCCCAACATTAATAATGCCCATTTGTTGGTAGATGAGTATTGCATGCCCCATGTCAGTACTATTTATGGCCCCAAGTGTGGTCCAAGAAATTGATGCGGAAAATAAACTGAAAGGAAATTTGAAAGGCTATTCCTTGCACCTGTACGGGTGGTACCAAAAGTCTCACCAATCCTCTCCCTTTCTATTATACTAGAAGGAAGACTAAAGTTTGTATAAGAGATGATTTCGAAAAGTCCATGAAAATTTGAATGAAGATTTAAATTTTAATGAAGAGAAACAGTTCAATTAAATTTAAATGGTGCTTTTAATGAGGTAAGAGAGGGAATTCAAAATAGTAAAAACAGTTTGCCAAAGGCAATGTTACAAGAGAAACTGGCATCAAATCAAATTTCACTCCCTCTTTACTCAGGGTTGATTAATTCAACTAATGAAGCTTTGAATAAAAGCCACATGGAAAATATTTTAAACGATGATGAGGAAGGTTTTAATGTCAGTGTTAGCAGCATAGTTCCCCTAATGCTTTGGCAGATCAAGAGGCCCTTAATGAAGACCACCCAGAACATGACTTTACAGAAGATCTTAATATTCACTTTGAAGATGATAAGGAGTCTCCCCTTCAGTCAGGTAAGAACAATGAAGATCTGCTTGAAATAGTTGGTGGAATCAGTCTAAATAAAAGCAAGATCGATGAGCCTTTTTTGAATGGTCCAAGTATTCCTCCACAAGAAGTTGGTATCTATCTTGTACCAATTAATAGGGTACATTGATGACTCTTTTTTGGAACTTTAGAGGTCGTGGGGTTTACAAGAAGAAGTTAAAGTGTGAAAATCTCATCAAGAACTATTGTCTTGGTTAAAGGTCAGCAGGATTTGCAGTTATTACCATTGTAATTTAGCATTGAGTTGCATCCTTCCATCCTCTGCTGGGGTTTTGAAAAAGTCAGCAAATATTTTCCTGATTTGCAAAAGGTCCTTGTTTGCATTGCTCTAGTTGAAGCCGAAGGGTTGCTTTTACAGGGTTCTTTCTATCTTTCTTGGTGCTGCTAAAACCCCTTCATATTCTCAGCAATGGGATCATAAAGAAACGGTGGCTCTCCAAAGGTCAATTCTCCAAGGCTTTTTGCAGATTCTTCCAAGAGTGCCTTTTTCTACTATTTCGCTTGGTTCATTGTGGAGTATCCTCCAGGAATTTCTAAGTAAGAAATTGTTTTATCCCTCAAGCATTTTTCGAGTCTATCTCCTTCCCAATTGGAGTCCTATTTGTCCTTTCTCGATAAGGAGCTTGCCAAAATTGCAAATAAGTTCTCCAGCTTAAAATATATTATCTCAAGAAACTGTTTTTTTTTTCTTTTTAAAAGTTTTTAGATGAGTTCAAGCAGCGTTTGTGGAATCTTCTTCTTCAGATCCCTCTAGGAAGTAGGTTTTGAAGTTTTTATGGTTCTCCAAGCTTAGTAGTCTGCAGTTTTCAGAGTTATTAAGCAGTGTCTCTTGGGTGTTAATGTTCTTGATCTTCTTTTTTTTTTTCTCTTTTTTTATTGCTCTTGTTGAGCTCATTCTACGATATTTTTGTTCTTTCTCACTTTCCTTTATCCCTGCGTGTTTGTAACCGGAACATTTGTATATTAATGAAAAGTTATTTCTTGTTATCATTGATGCTTAACGTTTGTATTTTCCTTTCCATTCACTATCACCTGTGCCAGCAAACTACACACAACGAACTGGCAACAAATATGAAATAACTAAGAAACCATAACATGCCAACTTTAACTAGAAATTCACCACCAACAAATTCATAGCTGAAGGGAAAAAAAAAACCCTAAAACCGCAATCGGGGTAGGAATCAAAAAGAAGTGTACTGAAGACTCCCATTGCACCAACCACAAATCAGCTTCAGAAGCAATAACCAAAACCTAAAGGTCCCAAACATCAACATCAGCAGTCTAGCGCCAGCACAAACAAACATCAAACTGAGGCAAAATCAGAGCCCTCCCCCCTCCATGAACAAAGAAACGCAACCCGATTACTAAAAGAACAAATGCAAAACAATAAAATAAATAAAACCTCGAGCTTCTGAACAGCGATCGCTTCCGAGGCTCCAGTGACGCTGATGAAAGTCTCAATTGCTTCCCGAGTAGGCATCGCCATAGAAATTAGAGAGAAATTGGAGAGGGGAAGTTGATCGGAGTAGAATCTGCTGGAATTTATCTATCTTGGAGAAGAACAAAAATGAAAAAATGGCCTCAATTAGACGTAAGGAATATAAAGAGATTGCTATCGGAAGCCGAAAGGAAACGTAACGGACAATTAACCTAGASACGTGTTCTACACAATGTAGGTACACACCCTTTCTTTCAAGTGAAATTAGAAAAAAAATTCGTTAAATTACGATATAAGTTTTTTGATTATTGAACTTTAAAATTTTAATAATAGTGATAGGCCGAATTTTTTCCCAAGACATGTCTTCATTAGGTCCATAGATTAATCTCATGCGTGACTCTCCCGAGGTAAGTTTGGAAATAGTAAGTGACGAACTACCGAATTTAATCGCACAATAATAGGGTTATCGAACTAAAGTCTAACGTTCGAAAGATAACTATTAAGTGTATCTCTACCTCACTGCACATTTCATGTCTAGCATCTCGAAGATAACCGTAGGGCGAAACTCACAACTCCAACAGTATCTAGCATTTCAAATAAATATCTAGAACATTTCAAATTGAGATTTTGTGTTTTGGAATCTTGTACTAATGAGAGTTTTAGAGTGCTAACTTCTTGTTGTGCAGGATCACCAATTGTCTTCGAGTGTTCTTGAAGATTTTAATGCTTTGATCAATTTTCGGTTAAAATAGTATACAATAGGTTATTGTAGTTAAGTGACATCTTGACTGCACCATTTGAACGTGGCGTGGTGACTATATGTGGAGGCATAATTGTTAAATTGATAAGGTAAATACATGGATCTATCATACACAAAATTGAAATTTTGGGGACTTATATAATAAACTTTTTAAAATACATGGGTCAAATAGGCAAAAACTTCAAAAAGTTCAAATAACTATTTGAAACTTTTTAGGGGGTGTTCAAGCACTAGGGTCGAGTTGTTAAATATGGAGAGTAAATTTTGGGAGTTAATTAGTCTTAGAGTTATTTAATTTGTGTTCAAATTGCAGTGTTTCTTAACTTGGAGTTTTAAAATCTGTGTTGTGTTCAACCTATAGAGTTAGTAAGTTCGGAGTCGTGTAAGTTTTTTTTTTTTTTTAAATTATCATGGGAGTAAGATTCTAATAATTTTTTAATTAATTTTTTTATGTCATTTATAATTATTTTTTAGAAAGATATCATTTATATAATTTAAATATTAAGTTATATTATTTTATGAATATATTTTTTTTAATTAAAGTTGTTATAATTACAATTATATATTTTTTATTTCCTTTATTTCTAGAATTTTATTTGAGTAATGTAAAATTACTTAAATTTTTCTAATACATTTTGTTATTTTAATTTGATTATTTGAAAATAGAATACATTTTTTAACTCTTTTAAACTCACTATATTAAAAATAAAACAATTCATATTTAGATTATTTTAATTAACTAAATTTAAAATGAATATCATACCTCTATATTTATCATTTTGTGTTTAATTTAAAAATTAAATATTTTTAATATATATTTTATTTTAGTAGGTTGAAAATACAATATAATTTATTTTGTTACTGAATATGACTAATTTAAAACATAAATATATTATTTTGTTTAATATTTGTTCGCTTGAAATTAAGTATCTTTATTTGTATAAACTCAAAATAAATTATTATTTCTATTTTAAGATCACTCATTTAAAATTGCATATTGTTACAAACTATAATTATGTATAAGAGATAATAGTAATTAAAATAATAATAATAATTCACTAAAAAAGTAAGCTAATTACTTAATTAATTTGATTTTATAGATGGTTTAGATTTAATTATATAAGCTTGAAATTTTAATTTTTTTTAATAACAAGACATAACTATATATATATATTTTTAAACCTATGTAAACATAAAATTGAGTTATAATTCATATCTTCTATAAAAATTGAAAATTTTATATATCTATGAATTAAAAAAAATACATTTGCTTTACCATTTAGAAAACTTCAATATTTATAATTATAAGTATGGAGGTAGGTAAATCGAGTCAATTAAATTGTAAAAAAAATTGAATAATTAGAAATTAGAAAAAAAATATGAAAGTAAGAAGGATAGTAAAAAAAATAATAATTATAAGAGAGAAAAATGGTAGAACGTGCCAAAATTAAAAAGAAAAAAAAAGACTGTGGGACCCACCAAATTTGAGATGTTGTGGCTGCATTGTGTAAAGAGATATGAGAGAAAAGGTATATGATTTGACGTGAAACCCACTTGAAAAAAGATAAATACATAAAATAAAATAAAGTGAGGAGTTGAATAATAAATTTGGAGAGTTAAATAGTAGATTTATTGTTAAAATATGAAGTTTTTAAATCATTCGCTTGAACAAGGAGTGGAGTTTTTTACTCGACTCCACCCCTAGCAACTCTTTGCTTGAACGACCCCTTAAGGTATAGGGTTTTCTCAAGAAGTAGCTAAGACATGTTTCACGTGGGCCAAGTTGACCTAACCAATGCATAATTACTGAGTTAAGATGGTTTAGTTGATGGAACCGTAGCTGCCCTATACAAATATGCAATGTTGAGTTTGCGAGTCAGTGAACTATGAACTACTAAAGTACAAAGTGAAAACTAAGCACAAATGTAGTGCAAACCAAACACCTTTGATGCTTATGTTAGTTTTGTGTTAAGCAAAGTAGAGTAGGAGTTTATAGCGTACCTCAATGTGTAGAGTAAATGTTTTCCTGAGAAGTGAAGTCATTATTGCTCCACCGCAATTCACAGACTTAGAATGTCACGTATCTATCACCTTTTGCATTGATAGGTCACTATGTAGGTTATATTCATAAGAATTATAATTGGATTATTTGTTAGTTTTTGTGTTATTTATGATAGATTGATGTACATAGTGAATATTCTGCAGGAATGAACTATTGGAACGAAATTGAATACAATCGGATAGATCGAAAGATAAATCAGAGTCCAACTGAATAAGGAGGACTACACAAAAGACATGCGAGCCTAGCACTTGTGAGAGTAGCATCAAGGCGTCCAAAATGACGTCATAACAGTTGAAGCACAAAGAAATGAGCAAGAATCCGAGAAGGTAGCATCACAGTGGTACCATGTTACTTGCAGACCACAAAGCCATTTTGTGAGAAGACAATGCAATGGTTATGTACTTAAAGCGTCCATCCATTTTTGAACAACATCGTGACGCTCACATGATCCATTTATAAAAATAGGGTTACAGGCACCACAAAGAGGGAGGAATCCTCGTAGAAAAGAGAGAACATATTGATTTTATAGATGTCAAGAAAGAGCATTAAAAAGTTGAGAAAAGAGATTTAGATTAGCTCGGAGACGATCAATCGAGACACAACATAATTAATTTCTCTCATTTCCCTTGAACTTTTATACTTTCCCTATATAAGTTAGCTTGGGATTAGTTTAATTTGTTCCTTAAACTTGAACTTTAATAGCTAAAGGTCCGATAATTATTTCGTTTTTAGTTTTTGGTTTTTGGTTTTTAACTTTTTAAAAACAAGGCGGTTGATAACCGATTCAATTTTCTGTTTTTTGTTTTTCAAAAACTATTTTGAAATTCTATGTAAATTCAAAAAAAAAAAAATAGTTTTCAAAAATCTACTCAACTTTTTCTTATTTCTCATATTTATCTCTAAAAAATTTCTCACTCTAATTTTTTTCTATTTCTAAATTTCTCTCTACAAAATTTATTTTTCTCTCTAAAAGATTATTATTTGTCTCTCTAGTTTTTCATCTCTATATATTTTTATTTTTTATTGTGTTAAATAAATTTCTCTCTACAAAATTTTTTTTCTTTCTCTAAAATTTCGTACTTTGAATATTTATTATTATTTGTCTCTCTTTAAATTTTTCATCTCATGTATTTTTATTTTTTATTCTTTTTCTAACCTACCAATTTCATTTCTCTCTCTCAAAATTTAATATTTTTCAAACCTTTTTCTTTCTAAAATTTCGTCTTTTATAACTTTTCTTTCTCTTCTTAATCTATTTTTCCATCTTGTTTTCTCGTTCAATTTTCTTTCACTGTAACTTTTATTAATCTCTGTATTTATTTATTTTCTCTAAAAATTATTTTGAATCTTATTTTTATCTCTAAATTTTTTTCCACTATAAGTTTTCTTTTTCGCAGAGTCAGGCCCCAAAAACAAGAAATGCATGTCCCAATCTCATCCCTTATTTTGTAAATTCTAAAAATAATTAAAAACAATTATAAAACCAATAATTTTTCTCAGGAATATATCTAAGATCGAAGAACGAGGTAGAGACAGAGATTAAAAATTTTCACGAGCATGAGAATGGAGGATAGCATCCTCACTCGCACTCACACCATTGTCATCCTTACTCTACATAAAATTTTCTCTCTTATTTTCAATTTTCTAACTTTTTTAAAAATAGAAAACTAAAAATGGTTATCAAACATGTTTGGTTTTCTGTTTTTCAAAAACAAAAAACAAAAAATGGTTATGAAACATATATGATTTTTGTTTTTTAAAAACAGAAAACCAAAAACTAAAAACAAGATAAACCAAAAACCAAAAATAGAAATGATTATCAAACGGGCCCTTAATTTATTGTTTTAGATTGCATATATGAGTTAGATTAATTAATTTGCTTTGATTGATTTATTTGTTATTCTATTCATGTATTTATATGCTTAATGTCTTTAATCTCTTGATCACGAACTAATTGTTTTAAATTTGAATCCCAACTGAAGTCATCATTCCCTTAACAGCCACAAAACTCGTCACAATACAGATTGACCTATTCTTCTAATTAGAAAACTTCGTTGGGTATTCTGTCGGAGTCCATGGCCATCTCCCCACCAGAAAACCATCCACCCCAGCTCCGATTTGCCCCTCTGACAGCCTTCAGGGGCCAGCTCCAATTATTGCACATTTTGGGAATTGCCCCTGCCCCGAGGCAAAAAGCCCTCCCATTGTTTTCCCTCCTCGTACC